GTTTTTTGCGACTCAAGGCCGTTTTTTTGCGTCTAGAACTTTTTACGTGGTACCACTATTGCAGACAAATTTGGTCAGGTTGTGGTAGACCTGAAGCTGGAGGTCAAGTGAGAGCTTGTTCTCACACACTATCATTGCCATGGCATGGGATCGAATACACGATCTGACGATTTCAAAGTGAACGCCTTACCACTGTGCTAAGTGCCTCCATGGTTATAATTTTTCCAAAATCTCTTATCATATCTTATTATCTCTTATAATCTTTTATACTCTCTTATAATGTCTTAAAATCTATTATACTAGATTATAACCTTTTGTTCAGTCAAAAAACTCTAAAAGTGAGATGTCTTGTCACTCTTTGATTCATCTGAACACAAAGTTTTACCACGAATCAAAAATTTCATAGAGATCCCATTATACTAGTTGAAAGAATCTCTCGGTAAGTGAAAATCAACTTTTTATATAAATCATGAAACTAAAGCAGTGTGCTGATATTTTGGTGATAAAAAAGCTTGAAATGTGCATCATGAATCAATTATAATCAGAAAAATTGAAAAAAAAAACATTTTAAACTTGAATTGATTTGAAAACGGTTAAACCAGTTTTCCCCTTTTTTACTTAAACCAACGTGTACAAAAAGCATAAAATATAAGCAATTCAGATAGAAGTTTGATTACAAAATGGGTTAACAAAAAGGATTATAAACAAATATAATCGATTATAATGGATTGTTTCTGCAGAACAAATAAATTAGAAATCCGAATAAAAATACTCGATTATAAACGAGCATATAGAATTATAAATGATTATATTTGATTTCAAAAAGAGAGAAAATAATCTATTATTAATTGATTAAAATCCATTTTTTCTCAATTTTTGTAAGTCTTTTATTTTATTTTTAGAATTCATTTTATTTTTTGTTGAGCTCCCTATTGTTGAATCATGACTATTGATTCAATGTTTAAAATCATGAACAATGCATAATTTTGATTTCAATTTAAAATTAAGAATACCTTGTTTTGCATAACAATTAAAACGCTAATCAAAAAACATATACCGGGAGACATTGAAAACCTATCATCAAAGTTTTTAGTAAAAGAAAACAAGAGTGCTCGTATCAGGGCAAAGCCCTGATTGCTCCGACTGCCTTTCAGGTCTATGAAGCAGCAATAACACGAAAAAATTATATGTAAAAAAAAAAAAAAAAAAAGGAAAAAATTGAGATTTTTTGTGAAAATCATAACCCCACACGCCATATAAAGCACAAAGTGATGAGTTTTTCTTCTAGTAACAAATCAAATTTGCCAAATAAGCTTCCTTCGACAAATTTGGAACAAGTTCCAAGACGGATTAAATCTCCGCTCACGCGTTAATAGCGCGAAGTATATCGCGCTTTAATTGTCACAAATTGGCAAAATTGCCAATCTTTAAAACTCCATAACTTTACAAAAAAATGATCAGAGGTAAAATATGTTTTTTTTCAATTTTAAGCTCAGGACAGCAATACTTTTTGAATGACATAAAAAATTTTGTCAAAAATAGCTAGTTAAAAAGTCTGAATTTGTCTGAAGAAAAAAAACCCACCCCGAGCAAAAACATTCGGTTACTTACGTTACGAAAGTCAGAACAAAAACTTAAGAAACTTAGTTGAAGCAAGTTTGATTGCATTTCAGCAACATTTCAGCAACTTCTCTCTTCTAAAATTGAGTTTCTATTTAAGCTTGAAAGAAAATTATGCCTGAAATTACCAGAAAAAAAACCCAGTTTTTATCCAAAGAAAACAGGTATATTCATGGCTCATTTCCAGTTTTTTTTACCTTGAAAAGGGGAAGGTTTTCCGGGACTGTGACGGAAACAAGGTATTGAAGTTAGTTCTATGAAATGAATCGGGTAAAAGTATGCTACTGTTTACGTTATTTTTGCCCCAAAAAAAAACTTTAGAAAATTTTTTCGAGGCAAGTCATCAAATTCGGATCAAATCATAAAGTCATCTAATTCATCAAATTATCTAATCAGAGCAAGCCCATGCATTTTTCAAAATCTCAAAAAATACACCTTAATGGGTTTTATGGCTTTTCAAAATTTCCCTACGCCTTTTCAACGTCTTCCAGTGTTTTTCTTTTTGTCTAACAAAATGAAACTTCCTGCATTTCAATCACACTTCTAGCGATCATGAAATTGCATGCATTGCGAATGACTTTATCGATCTCGTAGAAAAAAGGGTTCATTTTTTGTAATATGCAGTGTTCCAAATGCCTTTGAAAATGTGACTCAAATATGAACTGAGACAATTACAATGCATTAAACAGTTACAATGTGTTATTTGAACAAGTAAAACGTAAATTTTTTCCGCGAAGAAAATTTGAGGCTAATCGTATGATTTGATTAGTTCAATGTAACTATTGAAAACTCATTCTCTGTCGCTAAGTAAGAAAAACAACCTTTTTCATTTTCAAGATGATGTCCTTAGCGCTTGGAACCTTCAAAAGTGCCAATAACTTTGCAGATAACAGACCCTTGATTGAAAACCCAGACCAGGCCATGTAAGTATCGTAGAACTTGGAACCAGTTTAAAACTAGATAAACTGATATCTTATCTCGCAAATACCAGTATACACTAGATCTATTGAGACCAGGGAGATGTAAGAGTAAGATTAGGATCGGTATTAAACTAAGAAGTTGCACGAATCTATCCGGCCGAAAATAAGATAGCGTGACGAGTAGACGGTTTACTTTATGTGAAATTACTCTATGAGTCAGCCACCCCGGACATAAACTCAAATTTTGTGATCGTAGAATTTTGTGACCGTAGAGTTTTATGAAATCAAAATTTACGTGATTTATGAAAAATTAAGATTTTTCTGGCAAGCTAAATGTACTAATTATGCTGATTTATGATACATGTTTTTTTTTAACAAACTGAATACTTGATTAGATAATGGTAATTGAAACAGAGAATTTTTTGTAAATAGAGAGTAAATACTTTTCTGAAACACCAAATGAAAAATAATTAAACAAAAAAACGTATCTGTATGAATTACGCTACCTCTCACAAAAATAAATTAAATGATTTATGATCAAAACTAATATCAAACAAGCAATATTCTATTTTTTGCACGCTTCTATAATCAACCCGGCTAGTCCACAAAAATTCCTAAATTTTTCTTTATGACTTCTAAAATAGCAATTGTCTTCAACGTGAAAACGTAGAAGTTAGAATGTGGCTGTTGTTTTGTTAAGGATGGCCACCCCCCGTCCTGTGGCAGAATCAGTGTTCTCTAAACAGGAGATCTTCGAGTGGTACAGCTGTGACAAAATATCCCTGGCAGAGAGGAAGAGGATCTCGGCACTTATCGAGAGCTTCCCAGATGCCCAGTCGGACGACCACTCTGCCGTGTCGTCCAAAATGCACTCTATATCGTAAGTAGAACAAGATGCGAGCATGACCTGGGTCGAGGTTGCGGCTTAATGATCAGACGTTCGCCACCAATTTTTGTCTTTTTTCAGACTGCTGCGACCAAAATCGGATATTTTGGACAGCCGCGAATAATTTTTTGCCCGCCGCGAATAATTTTTTGACTACTGCGACTTTTTTTAACCACCGCGACTAATTTTTCGGCTAACGCGACCGAAATACACTATTTCCAGACTCAATCCGCGACTAAATTTTTGACCTTCGCGACCGAGATACGCTACTTCAAGCGTTAGTCCGCGACTTAAAACCCTGTCCAGACTATGGGTTTTCGGTCACGAAATAAACGTTTCCGCGACAAAGTCGAAAAATTAGTTGCGGACCTCGACCCGGAAAAAATTTCGTCACTTTGTTCGAAAGTCAGAGCAATACAAAATACACTGCCCGCATCCAAGTTTAGGCTTAAGTAATCGATTATAACGGATTATTATGTTGATTTTTTGACAATTGTAATTGCTGGTTATAATTTTCAAAATTAGATGTTTAGAGGATTTATAGACGTTTATAATCGTGATATTTTCCAAGAAATTATGATCTATGATATTCGATTATAATTGATTATAGTTCATACAAGAACCTCTTAAAATTAATTTAAATTGATTATAAGCTCTTATTTTCACACCAAAAGTTTTTAAGTCAAACCAAAATGATATTTCAATTATATCCAGGGGTTAATTTTTTCCGTCAAAAACAAAATCTCTAAAAACGATTCCACAAAGAGAGGTTACAATCAATTATTAATTGATTACAATCGATTATTAACGCTTGAAACTGGATGCGGTTGGTATTACAACTAATACATTATACGTATCGATATCTGTGTACATTCAATACATTATACGTATCGATGTCTTCTGCATATCGCAATTTACTTCAGTTAGATGAGCCATGTGGATAAGGTATGGGGTGATAAGGGTACCAATTTTGGTCGCTTTTTTACTCACCATTTCAGTAAAAAAGTAACCATTTCAGTAACTCTTGTTTTTGTTTTTGACTGGATGCGGTTGGTATTACAACTAATACATTATACGTATCGATATCTGTGTACATTCAATACATTATACGTATCGATGTCTTCTGCATATCGCAATTTACTTCAGTTAGATGAGCCATGTGGATAAGGTATGGGGTGATAAGGGTACCAATTTTGGTCGCTTTTTTACTCACCATTTCAGTAAAAAAGTAACCATTTCAGTAACTCTTGTTTTTGTTTTTGACTGGATGCGGTTGGTATTACAACTAATACATTATACGTATCGATATCTGTGTACATTCAATACATTATACGTATCGATGTCTTCTGCATATCGCAATTTACTTCAGTTAGATGAGCCATGTGGATAAGGTATGGGGTGATAAGGGTACCAATTTTGGTCGCTTTTTTACTCACCATTTCAGAGGCAATTTTAACAAAAAAGTTAAAATTGCTGAAGGTGAGTGACTCAAGTTGAATTTCGAGCGGGTATACTTATTTGAAACTGAATGTTCTCCCCTCATACCGAGTTTAGATAACAATTTTGAACTTTGACTGCAAACATTCTTCATATTGCATCACAAGTTCGCTCTTAATTTAAGTTAGTTAAGTTGATCATTCGCGAAAAAGGGCTATTTGAATTCTACTGACGATGGCTGCAACTCAGCTGGGCAGTTTAGTGACCAATGAAACAACAAATAGTGTTTGGGAGTCCCTTCAGGATCTGATCAATAACTCATCACCGTCAAAAAAGCGACTCATTGGCACTGCATTAGCTTCAACTGTGGTGTGCGCATATCTCCTAAAAAGATATCGGAAGAATAAAAATGACTTCGAGGAACTACCTCATGCGCATTGGCTCAAAGGCCACATGGAACATATCAGTAAATATGACAGCATCGGAAAAGCCCTTCAGAGTCTGTACAAGGAATCGGGAAGGCCAGCTATTGCCTATTTCAGGACCTACTTGAGACGTAATTTGATACTTTTCAACATTCGGGAAATGAAAGAACTGTTTCAAACTCAAGGATCCAAATCAAGTCTTAGACCTAACACGTTGCCTCTCTACCTCGAAAGCGTGAACAAAGGCTTACTTCAGTCTTCAGGACCGGTTTGGAAAATGAACAGACAAGTTTTTCACTCGTACATGCGGTCCTGGGGACGTGAAAAGCAGCTGGAACTTATAATAAACGAAACGAAGCATTTCATTTCGGCTCTCGTCGAAGCAAAATCGCTGGAACCCACAGAACTGCTTCAAAAGGCAGTTGGAAACATAATCGCGACGTTCATTCTCGGGTCTCGATTCGACTATGCTGATCCAGAGTTTCAAGCCATTGTAGATTCGGTAACCAAATTCAATGCTCGGAATACATTTTTGCCCACGTTCATGTTCAAACTACTGTCCCCCTTTTTTCCTAGTTTAAAAAATCGGGCCAAAGGAATAACGGATATGAGGAATTATTTGAAAAGAAAAATTGAAGCACGGATCAAAATAGGTGTGAAGCAGCCACCTGAAACCCTGATTGATGCTTATGCTCTAGAATCCAGCGCTACCGGAAATCAAATTGATTTCGAGAACTTGGAAATCGTGATTTATGATTTGTTTTTCGCGGGTCTTGAAACAACTTCGACAACTCTTGCATGGTTTTTGACAGCGGTTGTTCAAAATGCAGAAATCCAGGACAAAATGTTCGATGAAATTTCACGAGAAATAGGCGACGATAAAATTGAACCCGATGACTTCAAGAAACTGCCTTATACGGTTGCCGTTCAACTCGAGGTGCAGAGATACGGAGCGATAGCGCAAAACACAATTCTACATAAAATGGAGACTGCACTTAAATTGTCTTCAGGAAAAACTATTTCCAAGAACCAGTTCGTGACAGCAAGTCTTTACACGATAATGCGTGATCCCAGTTATTTCAAATCACCAGAGCAGTTCGATCCGGACAACTTTCTGGATGAAAATGGAAAAGTTAGAAGTAACATGGAGACATTTGTGCCTTATGGAATTGGACCTCGCGTCTGCTTGGGTCAAAGTTTGGCTGACCTTGAACTGAAAGTTTTCATAATTGAACTTATTCGGAAATTCCACATTTCTTCAGATGAAAATATCGATTTGACGAAACGCATTCAGAAAATAACAAATTCACCAAGTCCATACACATTTAATTTCAGTGAGCGATAAACATGTTCGGTTACTCAGATAAGCTTATCAATTATCAAGATAAATTTTATACGTCAAGTTTATGAGAAATTTCTAACTTTTGCGCTCAACCTAACTTTTGAACTAAAAAAACCTAGCAAATTCCTATTCAATTTTTTGACAGTGCACCAAAATCTGTCTGAAACAAAAATTGTTTCTTTCAAAATCACCTCGAATTTCATTTTTAATGACAAGAGTACAAAAATGATAAACATCAGTTCTTAATTTAAATTTTAACAAAAGGTTTTTCATCTGGAGTCACCAGCTAAACAAAAAACCTCAACCTAACAATAAGTACCGAACGCTAAACTGATTCGCTTTTTCAACTTAATTTAACTTCATCAAATACGTGCAGATTTGAAAGAAGTACAAAGTGATAAAATTAGTTTTGTAAACTTTTGAGTCTCCACAAGCTGAAAAAACGTTCCATTTAAAGATTGTTTAGTATTTGAAATATCATATCACCCAATTGAGAGCGATTGAAATGCATGCATGTAGTTAGAGCACCTAGTTTGCAGTTTGAACCATTTTTTTATCAAACCGAAAACTTAGTGATTATTTTATAGCAACTCATAATTAACTAAAATTACTCCGTTCGCGGTCAAAATACAAAACGTTTACGAGCTGTCAGTTTCAATTGAATAATCATTAATTATAAAAGAGCAAAAGGATTTTGATTTATATATCTTGAGGATTTGTTCGCGGTTTGACTTTTTTTCGGTTTATTTCCTTTTCTTTGAAAGATGGAAAACTCCACAATCCAACAGCAAAAGTGAAGATGTCACAAAAAAACGTGAATGCTTGTTTCGTCAAAAATGCATGTATGTCAAACTGCATATATTGAGAAGTGTTTATTATACAATTTTTCATAACACCATACGTACCGAAAATACAAAGAAAACTCTACGATAAACATTTTTCATACATGAAAATTATATGATAAGAATTTTTTCATATATCAAAAAACTTTAAATTGAACGTAGTGGGTACTTTTATATAGGTCTTGGTGATTTTTCGAGTTTGTTTTCAAGAAGAAAAAACTTAAAAGTGTTCACGCTCATTTTTGTTTTTCGCTGTTTGACTTTGAATTTTTCAAGTTCATTTTCTTTTTATCTGTTGAAAAAAAGCAAAATCTACTATCAAACAGCAAAAATGAAAACTCACCAAAAACGTGATCCAATTCTAGTTTCAAAAAATAAATTTAATTATCAGTTTTTCCAGCAAAAAAAAATTCACAGGGTTATTTTTTCAAAAAAGCGCCCATCATTAATTGATTGCGAAATCGAAAGAATCTTAACAACATTCATTTTTTTTGTTAAAATTAACGAGCTTTTTTAAAAAATTAAGTCAGTTTTTTTCAGTTTTTTTTTTGCTTTCTTAAGTCTTTTCCAACTGTCATTTAGCAATGTTTTTTTTTCAGTTTTGCTTCATATTTTTTTTTTCCGAAAACGCAATAGTCACAAACTTTTTTACACAAAAATTTCCGTTGAGTGAAAAGTAATCTCACAGATACTCGCATTTGAGTAGTTTTTGTAACTTTAACAGTTCAAACTTCACAGAGAGCTTTAAAAAAAAACCTAAATTTTGTATTTATCAAAATTTTACCCGTCGAAATTCATAGCCTAATTTTTTTGACATATTAAAATGCATAAAACAATGTGAAAGTCAACTTTACTTTTTTGAATAAAAAGTTCAGCCTGGTCTATGTTATACACAAAAATAACAAATCTTTGCATCCAACTTTTTTTTGAAAAACGCATAGTTGAGCTAGAAAAAGATATTGCAATTCAAAAGTGAGAAAATTCTCACGAAACTTTGATTTTTTATTTCATATTTAGAAACTATATGAGAAGCATTATTTGTGCACGGAACACTACCTGCGTTTCAGTTTCAAAAATGGACTTGCAATTTATAAATTCATTGCGGAATAAAAAAATTTCTATTGATCTAGTTATCTTACATGGCACAATTTAAAGCAAAAAGAATTTCAAAAAGCTTAAAGATAACGTACTTTTTTGAAAGTCATAAAACTTATAACGCTATCGAACCTTTGAAATGGGTTTCAAAAGAAGTTTGAAAGGAACTTTTCTTTTCTCATATTTGGGGTTTTACAAATTAGCGACTGCTAAAAAGAAGTAAATTACACTCTCTCTCCAACAGCAAGAGCTAAAAAAATTTCACTGATAAATTGTGAAAACTAGTGTGTTAACTTGTGTTAGTAATCTAAATTAATTTTAAAAATTGAGGAGAAAAGTCTTTGAGGTAACAGATTTAGGTTTGTTTCCGCAATTTTGTTGTGTTTTAATTTTTTTCAAATCTAATTTGGATGATTTTTCCCTATTTTTCACTATTTTCCCTATTTTTCCCTATTTCCCTTTAACAGTTCAAACTTCACAGAGAGCTTTAAAAAAAAACCTAAATTTTGTATTTATCAAAATTTTACCCGTCGAAAGTCATAGCCTAATTTTTTTGACATATTAAAATGCATAAAACAATGTGAAAGTCAACTTTACTTTTTTGAATAAAAAGTTCAGCCTGGTCTATGTTATACACAAAAATAACAAATCTTTGCATCCAACTTTTTTTTGAAAAACGCATAGTTGAGCTAGAAAAAGATATTGCAATTCAAAAGTGAGAAAATTCTCACGAAACTTTGATTTTTTATTTCATATTTAGAAACTATATGAGAAGCATTATTTGTGCACGGAACACTACCTGCGTTTCAGTTTCAAAAATGGACTTGCAATTTATAAATTCATTGCGGAATAAAAAAATTTCTATTGATCTAGTTATCTTACATGGCACAATTTAAAGCAAAAAGAATTTCAAAAAGCTTAAAGATAACGTACTTTTTTTGAAAGTCATAAAACTTATAACGCTATCGAACCTTTGAAATGGGTTTCAAAAGAAGTTTGAAAGGAACTTTTCTTTTCTCATATTTGGGGTTTTACAAATTAGCGACTGCTAAAAAGAAGTAAATTACACTCTCTCTCCAACAGCAAGAGCTAAAGAAATTTCACTGATAAATTGTGAAAACTAGTGTGTTAACTTGTGTTAGTAATCTAAATTAATTTTAAAAATTGAGGAGAAAAGTCTTTGAGGTAACAGATTTAGGTTTGTTTCCGCAATTTTGTTGTGTTTTAATTTTTTTCAAATCTAATTTGGATGATTTTTCCCTATTTTTCACTATTTTCCCTATTTTTCCCTATTTCCCTTTTGGCTTATACTAAATTAATTGTTAGTAGTTAGTTTTGTGAAACGAGCTTAAAACTTGTCGCTTTCAAGAATAGGATGAAAGTGAGGTTAATTACTTCTTAGTTGTTGAAAAACTTTTATGACTAACTATGACTAAAATGTGGAAACTACAAGGGCAGCAATTATTCTTTTCTTCATTAACAAAAACTATCCTTTTCAGTTAACGTTTCAGTTTTGAAGTTTTTTCAGTTTAAAATGAAATTTAGGGACTTTTTTTAAGATAAATTATAGGGAGAATTACGTTTTTTTTTTGAGAAAAGGTTATGAACTACGTTGTTCATAATTTTGTATACTGTGAAAGCTAAAAATTGTGGAACTTAGAAACTGAAAAGTGTGGAATTTATATCACAAATTGTTTTGTTATAACTGAAAAAACTGTTATAAAAGATTAAAAGTGAAATTTAACAATTTTTCAAAAAAGTGCTATAAAAACTAAGGAGATAGCTTAAAATTGAATATACAAAAAACAAATTTTCGTTTTTTTGGACTGATCGCTAAAAAAAGTTTTTGGGTTCATTTTTTTGACTGATGTGGTTACTAAAGTTCAACAAATCCCGGGTGGTCTTTGTAGTTTTTTATATACCCTTTGGGCGAGGGACAAACTACATTATTTAAAGGCAATTAATTTTTATTCTTGGAATTTATTCAATTAATATTTTTAGTGGCTCGGCAATCCTATAAAACTTTGAGAACTTGTAGCTATTTATATTCAATTTTCTTTCGGTTTTGAGGTGAGGATGTTAACTTGGACCTTTTGGTTGTTTTAGAATTCAAGTGCCCCCGTAGAAACAATTTTCTTGTCTTTTTTTCTAGAGCAACCGACGACACCAGAGACTTTTTTGTTATTATTAGTTCTTCTGTTGTAATTTGCTCTTTTCTGCAGGCAGTAATTTCCTTGTGCGAACAAACTTTCTGCGCATTCAAAAGTACAAAATTTGCATTGAAAACTATGTATACTAAACCGATTATTATTAAAACAAAAAAAATTCTAGGAAAAAAAAGAAAAATAAAAATAAAATTGTGAACATTTTGTAATTATTCTAATTGTTATTTAGTTTTTTGAAAACAACTTTTGTTGATTATGCCACATTAACTTGAAGTTTCACTCGTTTGTGTATGTTTTTATTATGTCATGCACAAGAAACGATATTATGTTCAAGAAAAATGAAACATTTTGTCTTTGTATTCTTTTTAAGATTATGGTCGGAGCATTCTGTGCTTCTTGCAGAAGAACCAGCTATTCTCGATTTTATTAGCATTTTTTTTCAAAAGTAGGAGAGATTGTTGATTATAAAGGAGATATTTATTGTTTAAATAAATTGGTATTATAAAACTCTATTTTTCTTCTGTGCTTAAAATTTTGTGGAAACTAATTTATGGTACTCCTTCTGAGAATTAAAAAAAAAATGAATTCTCAAGGTCTGTTCGCGCTTAAATAAATCTTAAATTAATGACGTCATTATGGCGCGAAAGTGAAAAAGCTAAAATTAGATTTTCTTAGACAAAAGGCCTTGAAAACTACTGGTTTGTTCGATTAAGGTCAGTTTGCCATCAAAATGTTTATAGATTTTTGTGATTGTTGAAAAACCGTTTGATAACATGTTAACCGGAAGATGTTTGCCTTATTTTATAGTATCTTTATATTGTCATATTATCTGTTTAAATTGCCGATAATTTACAGATGTTGAACCAGGTTTTTTAGATCTTACAGGATACGAGAGTGCGCCACATTTTGGTCCGCTGACCCGGACATTAGATATTCCGGACGATTTTTCAGAGAGGCCTGAAATTCCAACCGAACCGGACATTAGATATTCCGGACGATATTCCAGAGAGGCCTGAAACTCCAGCCGACCCGGACATTAGTTATTCCGGACGATATTCCAGAGAGGCCTGAAATTCCAACCGAACCGGACATTAGATATTTCGGATGATATTCCAGAGAG